GGAGGAAAAGCAGGGAGGCAAGTTGAGCTTTATAGTAAAGTGTCTAAGCATAAGCCCCCTGCCAATGCTTGGCACCCTGCCATGCAAGCCCCGGACATCATCTACGACAACTTGGGTGATATCTGACCCAAAACTGCACGCCTTCTGACAGTCCAGTTGCATTCTGATGGCCTATCTTTGACATACAAACTTCGTCCTAGAGGTCAGGTGAGCATTCTCTGGAGTCTAGGTGGAAAGTCTTTCTTGCTTGCCAGAGAAATATCTGAAGATTACTTCAATGCCTGATAAAAGAGTAAGTGCGCACAGTCTAGTGTCACAAATATCTGGCATCATAGATAATGGACTGTGGTCGGTGATCAGTGACACAATGACAAAAGGAGGTCTTTTCCACTATGGAGGACACTTGAACTACAGATTTCACAGAAAGTAAATGTGACTTGTAAAACACAATTCTTACGTGTGGGTTATCCACATGGTCTCGTCCTAGAAGATACTATAATTTTGCACTTATTTTACCAGTTTTTCTTTTTTGTGAATCAAAATGAGTCTGTGACTTGTATTTTAGAGGCTGCAAAGCACTTACATGTCAGAAATCAAAAATGCAAAGCAAGGGAATAGTTTCCCGTTGTCTTACCATGCCTGACAGTTAAATCTTGGATGGTCAGCGTTAACAGATTATGGGGATAATCGTTGCACACATCCACATTTGTTTTGTATTGAGATTCTAAATGTAGCATTTTACTAATCCACTGCTATGTGTGTGTTGGAAAAGGTCAAAAACAGCTGTGCTGTTGATAGTATGGTTGAAAATTATGATGATAACAATAAAAAAAGATTCATAGGAAAACAAATCATCTGCTTTTATGAATTATTTGGAAGTACCTAGTATTCCAGTAAAATCTAGTGTTCTTAAATCTGGATTTGTTTTTTGTTGTTTTGGTGAGTCCACAAGGAGGGCATGAAATTACCTTGAATGCTCTTTTCCTCTTTCACTGTCCTTTATTCACTCCTTTACTTTGCCCCTCTAGAGTGCTGAATACCGCCAGAACAGATAAAACACTGCCTGATGCCTAGGGAATATTAACCAGCTGCGTAAAATAGGGCCTTACTTCAAGTGTGGCTTAAATGTTGGCTAAATTAATTCGCGTCTGCCTGGCTCTGTTTGAAGGTACAGGCTGTTCCTTGTCCTGTTTTCTCTCTCATTCACCCCTTCACTCTTTTCCTTTCATTCCCCCCACCCTCACTCTTTTCTTCCACTGTCTGAAGGGATTTTTTTTTTGGCCACCCTCTTGGCCTGCCAGAATCTGATCTATTCATCACTTTGTGCCTCACTTTTTCAATCTGCAGTTTTCTTAAGCTAAAACGCAGACAGCGCTGTGTCCTTCACACTAATGTTTTTCCTTTGGAAAGACACTACAAAAACATTTTGGCCCAAGTACCAAACTACTCCTCTGAATTTAGTCTGCGGTCATTTATAACTGCACTCATGCATCTTGCCGCTTCCTCTAAATGTTTCCAACATAGAAACTTTGACACAGTAATAACCTTTTGTGAGCTGATTGCCCATACATAACCCATATGTGCTGAACCCTTGATGACCTACAGTTGCCTCTTCAGCTGATATTTCTCTGGGCATAATTCAAATATACAGCAGTCATTATGCTGTGGCCTCAGTGTAATGAGGAAATGTTTTGTCTTTTAATCTCGCACTACCTCTGACACTTCCTGAGCTTCCTACAGTGTTGCTATTTATCGTGATCATTTTAAATCACTGATGTGAACCTACACTTTGAAGTAGATCTCTGTTTCGTGATTATGCCGTGCCTGATAAACTTCAAGGGTATCTAGTGCTCACTTTCAGTTGGCTTTTTGTTTGTAAGGTGGGAGGAGGAAGGGATAATGGTGGTGGATGCATTAATTTCTTCTCAAAGCTGCTGACATTAAGAGGTCATAGCACCCTTTATCTCTTTTGTCAAAGTGTTTAAGTGTTTTGACAGCAAACAACTAGATTGTTACTGTTAATAAAGCTTATGCACCATTTGGGAATCTTTCCTACTTCCGATATATTTTTAGAATGCAAGGCAGCTAAAAAAAATAAGCCATATTTATCCACCAAAGCTTTAAATAGTGTTAAATCAACTGGTAACATTTTCAGTGGTTTCAGTTTTGGCATTCTGTGGCCTATAAAAAGGGTTGCACTTGGGATGTATTCTCATCTTGCCTGACTTCCCCTTTTCTAGAATGTTCCGTTTCTGTTTTCATTCCACCCCCATCTCTATGCTTGGATAACTGGGGGGAAAACAGAACTGCGTCGTTGTTCTCTGAATAGCAGAGCAGAAGTACAGCTGTTACCTGAAAATGTCTCTTACCATGATCATATTTTGTCTTTTGCATATTAAACAGTTTCAGGTTTTTGTGCTAGATTTTATGATTTCAACTAACGAATGTCAGGTTGATGCATACGAGCCATTTAAGAATGAAGAATACTTGCCATGTGCCATGATGAACAGCTTGACATACTAAAGCTGTTAGCTTTTCTAAGGTTTCTTGAGGAAAAATACTTCCATAACCACTTGGCTGGGTGTTGACTTTATCATGACTGAGTCACTGATTGCATGTGGTTGCACATGTAAGCACATGTATTAAAAAATTCAGGTATGTGGGGCTCTAATATTGTTCTTTTGGTTATACTGATAGGATATTTCCTAAGTGAAAACCTGTGGAAAGCTGGAAAATATATTTCAGAAAAAAACATGTTTTTGCCAGAAGCTAATCATTCCTATTTATGGAAGCAGCATCAGTCCTCCTGGTCCCTGCCAGATTCTGTCTGTTCTTCACACAGACGTCAGCTGTTGTGACAGTTTTTTTTTGGAGATAAACGAGGAAGGCCTGTTCATGTTAAAATGAACTCATAATTTTTATTTTAAATTCTGGCACAAAACCTTCCATCACAATTAACAGCATCAATACACTTAAATGGTTTTTAATCAGTTCTAAACATCAGTGCACTAATATATTTACAGTGGCACAAATGAACTGAGCAGAAGCTCTTATGAAATGCCTCTTTAGTGGTATGAGGTAGGAAGGCTGTTTGTTGTAATGTAACAGTCTCCTGGAATAAAGCTCGTCTGCATTTCTGTTGTCCCAGCAGACAACGCCCAGGCCCACTGTCTCGAACTCTGCGAGATTTCAGTTATTTTGTAGAATTACTTCAATGAGAATAAGGCTGTTGTTGAGTTTGACTGGGGTTTTAAACACTGCACAAACATTACAATCCAACAGCCTCTCTGGCCCAAGAGAGAACACATGCTCAGGCCATTAAATGGGGGTGTGAACACGTTTTAGGCAAAACCTTCACTTAACACAATTACAACAATACTTTAAGTGTTTTTCAGAAAAAAAAATAAATATATATATATATATATATATATATATATATATATATAAATACACACAAAAATAACAGGAACTCAATTCTGAGAAGTAGTATCTGAAATGCTGAGAAACCAGTGCTCAACAAAATGCCATTGACGTAAGAGCTTCTTGCTTATAAACAGTGGCCTGATTTTGGGTTGAGTTTGCTTAATGTCTAACATGAAAATGATGTCATAACGCCATGGTGTAGGCCATGCTAGGTGGGTGGAATGGCGGAAATCTTAATGAAGCAACCCTGATGGGCATTGGTCATAGAGCTCCATTGAGCAACATGACAGCCCTGACCTTACTTCAGTTTCAGAGCTCTTTTCTCTCACATCTATGCCCCAAACCCTATAACAACGGCTCCAAAGCCGGGCTTTATTGCCCCAGGACTGAACAGACCGCTCTCTCTTTCTCTTTTGCTCTCTCTCATTGAGGCCTTGTTCTGAATTTCTCATCAGCTGAGTACAGTGTGTTTCTTTGAGGCCCGTTGTGCAGGCTTGCTATGCCTCTGCATCTTTATGTGCTCCGTTCCATTCCTCTCCCCTGCACCCTAACACTCTACAGATAGACCCTTTCAGTTAGAACAGCGCACTGAAAAGAGCTGTACTCTCTCGTACTCTTTCTCTCTCTAAAACAGCTTTTGTATTGCCTTTGTCCTTACATTTTTTGCGGTTCTGTTTACTTATTTCCTTGCCTCAGCACTTTAGCCTGGATCTTTGTGAATTTCCCAGTTGTGGTCAAGTTGCCGTTAAAGTAAATAAGCCAGTTGTAAAATACTGTAAATGAAATCATATTAATTAAGCATCGTGAGAACTGCTTCTACTTGTAGGCGTTTGAGAAACAAAACAGTTTTGGTTTATGTCTCCTGGCCATCTGAAATATGGGCGTTAAGTTAACAGACTGTAATGCTGTTTTTGGAGTCCTTTGGGGAAGAATGAGGCGTTTTATCTGCTCAGTAATGCTTTACAGCTGTGGAGAGATATAAACAGTTGGTGTGTGCACCATTGTGAGGCTGCCATGCTGCACTGACCAACAATAAACTCAAGTAGCTTATAGGGACTAATGAATTGAACTGAATACTGTTGTAGTATTTAGGAATTATTTTAAATAGTTCCTAAATTGCCTAGCTAATAGGTTTTTCTTTCGTCAGTACTGATTTAATCCTGAAGTTGTCAGCATGTCTGTTTACACATTTTCAAATGTCTCAAAGCTGTAAAGGTGTACCCCCCAAACCCCCTTTTTTATAGCTGACATCTGTAAGACATGAAAATGTAATATGTAATATCTTCTCTCTAGTGACTAATGTAAAATAAAACAAGTCTGAAAAGTGACAGGATACCAAAGGTATGACGGAGAGCTAATTTGCACATCTAAAAAAAAACAAAAAACAAAAACGAGTACTGCAGTTTAGAGTGTTTCCGAACTATAAATACATCTATTAGGTTGCATCTGTGGTGCAGTGCGGTTTGTCAGTTGATACTTATGTAGGCTGACCAAAAATATTCTCATTCAGATGAAACAGTTTTGCATACTGGTTACCAACAGATTCAGTAGTGCACTGCTCTTTCTTGCTCTCTCTGTCATATTGGCAAGTCATTATCCCCATCGTCGACCAGGAAGCAGAGCGAGGGGGCACGGGCACGGGAGTGGCTCAAGGTCAAAGGGGGGCGAGACATCTTACTTGGGGGGGCAGAAGCAAGAGGGGCCACAGTGGCTCTCACACGTCCCTGTTGGGGTCAGAGAGAGCAAAACAATTTTATGTGGGCAGTAAGTGTGTTTGTATTTGTATAAAACACTATTTATCAATACAATAAATACAAATAAGCATCACTGAAGTAAAAAGTAACGAATTTCTTGTTTTCAAAACCATTATTGAAATCTTGTATTATGTTCGGAATAACACATTTTGGGTTATTGCCTAGATTTGTCAAATTCCACCACCAGCATCTGATGTAACTTAATGAAGCAATGCTTAAAGTAATGTTTGTGTTTTCTGAATATAAATGCGTAGTGCCCACATAAATGCTTTTAATTTCCTCGGGTGTTCTAAAACCTTTGCATAGCACTGTAAATGAGTTCCACAGCCTACATTATCAGTATTACCAATGTAAGTAATACTCTTATAAGTTGTAATAGTGCATGTGGTTCATTCTCATACACTATTTTGAAAAGTAGGTTTAGACAGCCTTATAAAGTACTGTACAAACGTCAAAGACCAAAACAAAGTTATTTATTTGTCAGTGTCAGGAAAAACAGAAAAATACATTTTACAGAAAATTACACAGATGCCTCAACTAGTAAATATAATAGCAAATTTTCAGCATTTAGTGTCCCTTTCCCTTTATTTCAGCTTCTATTCTTTTTTGGGAAACTTGCTTTTACTTTTTTAAAGAAATCTGCCAGGATATTTTTTCATGCTTCTTGTAAACACATGCAAAGTTCAGTCTGAGAAGTTGGTTGCATTTTCTGCTTCTAACAATTAAAGTAATCCCAATTACAAATTTTAAACATCAATCCATAAAACTTTATTCAACATCTGTAAATTTTCTTTTTTGTCTGTGTTCTTTTTCTCAGTAACAACTTTTTTCAGATGTGCAAGATAAAGCAAGAGTGAAGCTTGATTCTCTCCTCTCAAATATGAAATCTTTCAGTACTGTTTATCTGATGGCGACAAGTTTGGTGGTCTACCTGATACTGCATGGCAGTTAGGAGTCCCATTTTCTCTATATTATTTAAACATTTTTTGGAAACTTGTTTTTTCACTTTCCTTTTGACCTTCCCTTCCCTTATGCAAGTGGGTTACCCTATATCTAATCTCCTCAGAAATATCTCCTGAAAAATTAATAATGGCTGTTTTGACTGGAAATTAAATTAAGGGTGGTCTCTGACTTCTGCCCAGGACCATATAGACTGAGACTGAGACTCTTGTATTGTGTGGCAGTATGTGTGTGCATCTGTGCTGAATTCTTACATGTTTAAGTTAAAGGTACAGGTTAGGTAGTAGCTTTGGTATGAAAAAGTGTGTGTGTGTATATAAGTGTGCAGCCTATCATGTTTAGCATAGCTGTGGACAGTTCCATATTAAACAATATTTTATCTAGAGTTCTTCATTGTTCTCTAACGTTTGTCTCCTGTTGTGTAGGTGTTTACATATTGGGTCAGTGTTTGGTCAGTGATCTCATGGACAATACTTCCTTATTCTAACTTTTGTCTTTCTTTCAGACACACCCACACAGTGCTTCTTTATAGTTGGGATCTTTGTACTGTCCTTGTAAAATATTTAGCTTTACCAATTTGCATTTTTATGTGTGTGTAGGCTACATTTATGCTGATAAGCAAATATAGTGCTCCATAAAACGCAGGCACTTCATTTAAGCTACCAAGTGTCTTGATAGCTTGTTATCTAATTAGGTTAAGGTGATTGATCATTGTACAAAGTTCCACACTGGCCCCTGGAACAAATTTGTCTAGCCAAACACTGCACTTAGAAGCTCCTTACTTTCATAAAACCAGTAGATAATAGATAGTGCTCTTTGTACTATATACTCTAGTGTGGTGTTTCACAATCCTAATCCTGGAGGCCCTATACACTTAACATTTTTGTATTGTTTTGTAACACACCTACTGCATCTCAGTGAGTGCCTGAAAATGAGTTAATGAGTTTAATCAAGGCCATTAGAGCAGGGAAAACAAAAAAAATTTAAAAAAATGTAGCAGAGCATGGCTGCTGTTGAGTATCTGACCTGCCGTGGTGTGGAGCCCTCTGCTGGGCGCTCTCTGCGCTGGCCTCGTCCCTGGTTCTGTGAGTGAGATCCGTACGAGCGGGACACCAGGCCTCTCATCTTCAGCTGTGGGTAGAGGTTGGTGCGCAGGCACAGAGGGTTAAACACAGGGTCCTCCTCCAGCTGCTCCAGGCATCTCTGGGAGGCATAAAGGCAGTTAAAGAGATTACTAATAAATAATAACAATGATGATAGTAAGTTTAACGTATCGAGTACCTTTCTCATATTCAAGAATAAGCTCCAAGATTTACAGATCTGGGTGATTTTGGGCTCAAAATTTATTTGTAGTACTGTTGTGTAGAGCAATTGCTAGAAACAAAAACTGCAGATGACTAAATTGAGTAAAAAGCATAAGAAAAACTGGTAAAACTATGATAATGTGATTATCATAGTACCAGCATTTTTAGGTCCCCTAAAAGTTTGTATATGTTTCTATGTGTGTGCATTCTATAACCACATTCATAACACATGACCTACTGACATTACCAGTTGATCATGCTCTTACCTATGAGATATTTTTGCCAAGGCGCTCTATGATGGGGAGGAAATGACACATATGAGAGTAGGACGTTGAAACCCAAAAATGAAGTTATTAGTTTCTTTTACAGTTAGAGCTATAGTAGAGAATGACATAAGTAGGTCATGCATTGCTAAAAGAGTTTATACCTGTAAATTGTTGCAAAGTATGTAGAGCAAGTGTTACATGAAAACACAGCGCGATTGTGACTGTGCTGCCTTGGAATGGTAGAGATCAACTGAAGGACTTATTGTGTAAAAATCTGCCTGGTCTGTGTGTATTGTCTGTGAGAGACAGATAGTATGAGAGAATACCTGCACCACAGTGAGAGTGTTCAGTGGTGGATCCTCATTAGAGGTGGGCAGATTGTAGGGCAGCATTAGTTCTCGTGTGAGGATAGGCTTAAGTAACAGAGAGAGTGAGGCAGAGGACTGGAGTATGTAGTAAGAAAACACACGGGATCCAGAACCAAACTCTGGCTCCAAACGCACCAAGAGAGACCAGTCACGAGTCTGGAGACACACCAAATCAACAAATAAACATGCAACACGGAGGTAAATAAGTTTAAAACACTAAGTTGAAAAGGCAATAAGAATATTTCAAACTAGTACATTACATCTCATCATAAATATGAATCTGTGTTCCCTTCACCAAAGACGGGGTAGACAGATGTAAAAATTTGCCACAAATTCTGAATTTCGACCACAAAATTTATTGGTTTGGTGGTCTGACTGGACAGAGCAAAATGTGTTTATCCTACGTACACTGTATTTACAACTGACAAGTATGCTTCAGTACCAAAAACCAGTCAGACATTGCTCTGAAAGTAGAAAAAACAACTAAAACTTTACATTAATGAGAACACTGGTGTTATAGTTACTGTGGTGGTCACCCCTGCCAAGCTGGTCTGGCCTGACGTCATCCAATTTAGGTTATTTCATTCGGTACTGTTTAGCTACTGCAGCTATAGCATCTTGGTGTAACACTAGCTTATTTAAAACATTATTAATAGAGTAATATTAGCAAACATCCAATGGAACAGCACCTATGATGACAGGCAGACCAGCTTAGCAAGGGGGACTACAACGATCACCATGTTAGGTATCGTGTTGCTTACAGGTGATGAATTGGATTTGTCTGATTAGTTACATGTCTGACCAAACAGGTTTGTTAAAATTGTAGGCAAGTGGCCACTCTGACCCCAGGCTCTGCATTTTAGCAGCCAAAATGTGAAATTTGGTGGCCAGGGGCACCAGGCAATAGACAATGTGTACCCCTGCACACAGAGACACTCTGGACTGACTCTGAGTGTGTGGCAGAGAGCGTGGAAGGTCTGGTGGTTGTTTTCCATCTCATCCCAGTCTAGCTGCCAGCAGGTGGTAGGTCTGATGATCAGTGGAAGACCGTACAGCACAGACTGACACACTCCATCTGCCTGCAAAGCTCTGAGACACACATATACTGAATGAAAGCAATGGCTTGGCTATAAATCACATTTACGCCAAATGTAATTAATCAGTCAGCAAAGTCTGCTTTGCGCTGGAGCTAATTAGCACTGTGCAATCTGCACGCCTAAATCATCATACATTTACCTCAAACTAAGTTGTTAAGTCATCTCAAACAGACTTGCTTATTTGGTTTCTGACACTGTGTGACATCCATCATAAACAGCACTATGTAGTCAGAGACCACCCTTCATTTATTTAATTTTCAGGTAAAACAACCTTTAAGTACAAGTTCTTCATTTATCAGTTTCCATAAAAAAGCAGAAAACATTTATACAGATTACTTAACAGATTTTCACAGAAGCCCCAACAACTAAATGTTTCAGTACTATGGTGACCAGCCACTGGCTGCGCTGCCTTAAGAGCGTGGGAGGTGTGTCCATGCAAAGGGGCCATGCTAAGAGGCTCTTGGGAGACGCCGTGCTCACGTTAGGAGAGACATTTATTGTAGTTAAGTAGTGGATGTTAGTTTAACATGTCTTTGTGTTATGTGTGCTTTAATGTGCTGGGCTGTGGGGGTAGTTCGTGGGGCTAAGCATCTACAACAGAGAGGAGTCCTAGGGCAAAAGTGACGTTCCCTGCTGTCACGCTGTGTTGATCAGCGCTGAGTGGCGGTTCTCCCTTGCTGCCTTTTCAATAAAAGAACATTCGCCTTTAAGCGCAATGTTTCCAGGTCTTCTTCTTTGTTGATGCTACAGTATTTAGTGTGTACCATCCTTTGCCTTTATTACACCTTTTGTCAACATTGATGTCAAGTTGACATGACACCTTTGTCAAGTGGCATTCATTTTTTCTGACACTGGGCTGTGTCATGACACTTTTTTGGGTGAAATGACGTGGCATGTTATCACAGCTAACTTTGCAGCCTCAGTGTATATCACAGTTAATGTTGATGGTGATATAGCTTAAGTCCTATAAAGGGTAAAATGAAACTCACCAGAAAGTGCTGCTCTTTTGTTCAACCAGTCGGACTTGGCAAGCTACGCCATGTTATCAGTATTATGTCACTGTGACATACACTGAGCTAGTCTAGGTCATTTCAGTCCCCCAAGAAAATGTCATGACACAAAAGTCACCTGACATGGATGCTATGTTAACTTGATCAAAGCTGGAAAATACAATGTTTATGACAAATAACGCCGATTGGAACAAGCTGGAATAAGTTTATGAATGTTTGTGTGGGTATAACTTCATGGCTGTGTTGACTGGAATTTAAACAAATGACAGGTACACAGTACTGTTGCTTAAAATAGCAGTAGCAGCTATCTGAAGGCTGAATGTTGTCCACACTTTGGTTCATTTGTATAGATATCAGAATGACATATAGTGTCAGAAACCACACTCGTTAGTGGATTTGAGATTATTTAACAGCTCAGTATAGTTTGAGGGGAGAATATTCTTAAGATATTAGGAATTTAGTTCCAAAAATTTGAACATAGAGAGTTTTTGAAAAGAATAAGCACTGATATTAATGGAAAAAACGTTCTTATTTCTCTAATAAAGGCAGTACGCATCATAAAACAACACAGTGAAGCCCACTCCCAGCAATGTATATCAAGAAAAAAGAACAATTTTGAAAATGGTCTATAATGCATTTGCAACAAAACCCTTCATATGCAGTTTGCATTATGCTATTAGCAAAGTCTTAGCTTCCATTACTTGTTAGGTATACTAACCTCATAGCTCCAGTGCAAAACTAATACTAGTAAACAACTTCATTTCACATCTGAGGTAAGGGGAAAGTTGTGTTAATTTGATTTTTGATCCGACCACTGCTTTAAGCATAATGAATAAAAACTAGTCATGTGTGCCTTTCACAACTTTACAATAAGTAAGCACTTAACATACGTGAACGAAGGAACAGTATAAAGCAGAGACCTGATGAGTAATCAAGCAAGCAGAAAGAGAGAGTGAGAGTAAAACTGAGATGACAGAAAGCAAATGAGACAAAACAACACAGCGAGAATGTTTCGATTTGCTGCACAGTGGCAAGGTAAGAATGCTCTCACTGTCGCTCCAAAAATCCTTCAGATCAATGATCTCATGAGCATGTAAAACATATGCAAAACCCCCAAGTCATCACAATGTATGGCAGTGTGTCTGTCTGTGTGTGTGCTTCAAGCCTCACACACTGAAACCTCTGTCTAGTTGTTCCACACTACATTAGAGCATGACTCATACCCATGTTCAGCAAGACACTGATGCCCTTTTTGCATAATCCACTCATTTTCTCTCACTCTCTATCTGCCTCTCTCAGCCTCTCTATCTCTGTTTCTCGGTTTCTGTCTTACAGTCCCTTTTTCCATAGGTTACTTTTTGTCCAGCTTAACATTTAAACCTTACTAAACGGTATTCAATACATCTCTCATTGCACAGATCTGCATTGTTGTGGGCAAGGAGGCTGTTCTAAATCTTCCTGGGGAGATGCATGGCACAAACTAAGCAGGGTAAAATGTAACATGAATATTTCACATAGTTAAACAGGTTCCAGTACGACGTGCTTTAAGTCGTATCCTTGTATTCTCATAGCAATGTCATCCATGAACAACAGTCACAGATATTTCTTCAGATTCATGTTAAACACTTTTTATACCATAAAGCTTTTTCACACCTATATTATTTTTATCATCTTCTTGGTAACTGTAATATAGCAGTATTTTGAAGCTTATGAACAACTTAGAGTACAGTACAGTCTTCACATGCTGAGGTTAGTTTTAACACAGTATTACACCTAGCCTCCTAAAGTAAACAATGAAAGAAGCCCATATCCTGCCACAAAAATTCAAAACAGTCATTTTTTGGGAACTTTTTATGTACACAATAATCAAAAACATACTATAGATGTCAAAGATATAAAATATATTCTTATTTTATTGTGCTGATATTTCTCTTGTACCTTGTGGTCAAAAATAAATTCGACGCATTTGCCACTTGACACGCCTCTTTTCACCAATCATATTTATTTTGATAAATATATTTTCATGTGTTTAGTTTGGAAAGCTTGTCTGCCTATTTTGAAAGATATGACATTTTAACGTCTGTCACAACTAGCTCCGTCTGTGGGGTAAGTGATGAGGTCTGCACTCAATTCTCTTTCAGCTGAATTGTCCGCAGACGGTAAAGTTGTTCTATAAAGTATAAAAGGGTTCTATAAATGGTTATCATTATTATAATAATTATAGTAAGGATAACTATTTATAGAACACTTTTTATACTGGTGGCAGCTTATTGTGCTTTAAGGCGAATGGTAATAAAAGAAATTAAATTTTTGATTTTATTCTATTACTGTTACTGTTACTTTAGAGTATTTAGAGTATTATCAATCTAACAATCTAAAGCAATAACAGATTAAAGTAAAAAGATAAATACCAAAAGAGAGGTAGAATTTTAATAAAAAGCTCAATCAAAGAGTTACGTTTTCAAATGTTTCTTAAAAGTGTGCACTGAGCTTAAATGCCCAACAAAAGGCGGAGTTCCACACTTTTAAAGCATAATAACAGACATTATAACATTACATTTTCTGTATTTTACAGATGGCATTTGCAGGAGATCATCAGGTGCTGGAACATGAACAGACAGACATTCTGCGAGGTACACAGGTGCTTTAAGGCCATTTAGAGCTAAACAGTCTAAAAACTAGTTAAAGAACTTTAACATCTATCCTAAAAGATACAGGCAGTCAGTGCAGATCTTTCAAAACAGGGGTGATATGAGCTCTCTTTCAGTTTTTGTTTGGATCGTGCTGCTGCATTTTGTACAAGCTGTGAGTTTCTCCGCATCACTCAGTGATAGAAAAGGCTCACCTTTAGCAATATTTCTCAAAAGATAAAAAGCTACTTTGGTGCCAGTGTTTACATGCAGGATCTAAAATTACTCCAAATCTAAAATTACACCCAGGTTTCGTACTTCAGTTTTGGTGTAAGAAACTAAGGGCTTCTGAATTTTAGTACCAAGGATCAGTTTTTCAGTTTTTTCCTAATTTAGTTGTAGAAGATTTTGTGAAAATTTGAGAAATATCTGATGGACAACCTGTAAGCTGGTAAAAAGAGTCTTGATTTTCAAAAGGAATGCAAATGTTTACTTATGTGTCATCAATATAGCTATGAAAATTGATAGCATGTTTTCCTTATATATATACAAATACTCCATATAATATTCATATACATTTGATATTACTTTAACATTCAAATGACTTTAATATTATTTAGCAAAAACGAAAATGTTCCAGTTTGTGCCTTGCTCTCCTTACACATTTTCAACAAGATAAACTGCTTACTAAACAAGCTTTTTTGTTTAATTAAAAAATAGATTGATAAAATTTTAATATAACTTTTTACATATAAATACTATGCATGTTAGTCCTGATTACACATAAGGCAAATAACAGTCTTTAATCTTTAGGTTTTTTTAAAAGAATCCTCTCAAAATCATGTTCAATGGCATAATAGGTCTTCAAGAGCTGCTGACAGTGCAGAAGTGAATCAATGGCCCTATTCATGGCAGAACTTTAATGTGACTGGCTGCTTGCAGGCCTCAGGCTGATCTATAGTAATTAAACTTTGGCATAGCTACAATGGAACTCAGTTTATCTCCAACCATACTTGACGACTCGTAGTCGTTGAGGTGGGGGGTTCTTATTGGACAGGCTCTTGTTAGGGGGCTGGAAGTCCCGGACGCTCTCAGTTTTGGCTCCAAGGTCAGGTGTGCCAGGTAGAAGGGCAGGACTCACCAGCCTTTCCTGCATGTCACACTTTATACACACTACAAACACACACCGTTTTATTTACTTCCTTGCCTGCAAACATATTCTGTATGTCAGATTTTCAGAAGTAAGAAAGGATTGCTTCTCAGTGTAAGATAGAGTCCACTTGTGAATGTAATGTGAATTACCAGGATTAGGCTTGTGAGCAGGGTTGGTTTTCGGGCTGAGCGTCTGTTCAGGTGCAGGTAAGAGCAGCTGAAGCTGTTCTCTTTCTCCTGCTTGGTCATGCAGCCATGCTTTTAGAACATTCTCCACTGCAACCACACTGTTCTCCACTAACTGAAGGTCAATTTCTGCTCCTAACATCAGATCCTCTACAAAGAGAGAAAGATTAGTTAGATACTTGAGCAAGGAGAAAAAGTGAAAATGCTTTTGCATCAATCTCAAATCACCAGTAGAGGGAGCTGCACAACTGTTGCTTTTCCAAGTGTCAGAAATAAAGTTGACCACAAGTTTTAATCAACTCTTCTTTTGGGCTTGGCAAAAATAAATGTTTTCCAGAATTACGACCAAAACTATGTGTGTGGTTATATTTTTTTAAAATGATAATTTATGAGAGCTATTGATTAAAATGTATATTCCCCTTAAGGCAATAGAAGTGGTAAATATTTAGGTAATGAGACATGGCCTGTACTGCTATTCAATGTTCAGAGTAAGCTAAATCTTGTCTTATTTGGACATACAAAGTCCTTTTAGACTCTGGACTAATACTAACTTCATATTTTTTTCTAAAGAAACCCATTTCAAATATTTAGATAGCTGTCTTTAATGTATGCTGCATGGTTCTTTAATGCTTTAGAGTAGATGCTTGAATTAAGGGGAATAATTCCTCATGAATGTAATTGTGGAGTTGAACCTGTCCAAGATAAGACTACCTCAGCATAAATGGACTCTTCCTCTGGAGCCACTGCTGTTTTCAATTATTCATGTACCTCTATAGGGCCTGAAGAGCCTAATGGGAGCCAAGTGGACATGTTTAAATTTTTATTGTTCAGTAGAGAGAAAGAGATAGAGAAAGAGAGAGAGAGAGAGGGAGGGGAAGGAGAGAAAGAATGAGAGAGAGAGAGGGAGAGAGAGAGAGACGGAGGGGAAGGAGATAGAGAAGAATAAATGGAAGCAATCCCTAGCATGCAACCGCTGTCTTGGGAATTGTGCTGGGAGGAGACATTAGGGCACTTTCAGAGCAACAATATGCACTAAAGCGGTTTTGCAATAATTGCTTTTCCAGGTCATCAGTGAAGCAGAGCTGCTAATTCATTGTATCTGATCTTCAATTTACAAGTCAAACATCAACATGACTGTGTTTCCTGCTCACACAGTACATTACAAGGACACTGAAACCATGTTGAAAGTTAGTATTTAAACTATAAAGGAGCAATACAATCAATTACATGCGATTTGTGATAACATCATTCCAAACCGCATAAATACAGGCAGCATTCTGAAATAACCTTCTCTTCCTTGTCATTACCGGTAATAATAATAATAATAATAATCATAATAATAATACATTAGAATAGCATGTTTCATATTCCATAAGCCTGATGTCTTACAGAGAGCCATATTTTATGCACAGTATTTTGAAAAACGAGTTGTTGGTTCATTTAAAGGGAATTGGCTATAGCTGCAAAAAGTGCAATGAATGTAAAAGTGAAACTTGAAAGAATGTTGATAAATGCAGTGCACCTCTACACACTGATGAGACTTTTCATCTAGTAAATGTCACCCAGATGGTGTGAGTGGGCAAAAAAAAAAGGTGTGGATGAAGAAGCGGAAAGCAGGAGGCATGGCGGCTTTGGGTAGATAGCAGTGACAGATGCAGAGCAACCCCCACATCTCCTGTTAACACATTATATCTCATTATGCGTTTCTATATCTCCCTACATGTTCTTTCCTTCTGTGTTCAGATAATTCAGTTCAATTCAGTCGAATAATAACATGACTGTCAAAAAAAACAAACACAAGTATCTCCCTTTTTAGCATCATTTGTGTACAGGAGCCATCTTTACATTGTGTACCTTCTGTAAAGTTACTATTTTGAAGATACTTGCCTTTTTTGAACAACGGTGGTATGCTTTTTTAGCACAGTTTGTAGCATAATTTGCTTGACATTATCCATATTAATTTCCCTATCTTTCCTACACTTTCCTACATTATTCAGTCCATATGTATTTGGACAGTGACACAACGCATGAACACCTCTTTAAACCACATACTGAGAGTTCCCATGAACAGCTACCAAATGCATATTCAACACCTGGAATCAACTTCAGACCTTTTATCCCCTTAAATTTGTCATGAAATAACAAGGGAGCAGACCTCACCAGGCCAAGAAGCTGCTTAGTAACTGTCCAATTATTTTTGAGCCTGTGAAAATGGAGGGATCATGGAAAAATGGCTGTAATTCCTAAATGGTTAATTCAATATTTTTGAAAAGCCCTTGAATTAAAACTAAAAGTCTACACTTTAATCACATTTAAACTGCTTCATTTCAATCCACTGTGGTGTTGTATAGAGAAAAAATTACAAAAACTGTCACTGTCCAAATACTTTTGGACATGACTATATTAATCTAGTCCTTATTCCTCTGGTACATTCCCTCCATGTCAGTAAAAAAAAAGCTTGAGTGGTTACTAGCACTCATCTCCAACCCATTTGCACAGAAACCACGCAAGTCATATCCTCCCTCCATCACTCTTGATCTCTCTTTCTCTCCATCATAAGTGTAGATAGACATCAGAGTACCAGACTGGCCTGGAAAGAGCAACTCTCTTCTTTGAGAGAAACTAATGGGGTGTAATTGATCATTCTGCAGCCACTAAGAGATTGGAAAGTTTAGCTTGACATGTATTGTGCACCTAATGACTACTGAGCCATTAGGACTCATTACTCTCTGCTAGTTATTAGCGCTATATCTCATCCTATGAGGTAATGGTGAAAGAGCAAGGTTATGATCTCGATAATAGATTATGAGCAGGGATTTTTTCCCCAAAAAAGGGGATTTTTTTTTTGTCTTTGATAGTGCTGTATGTGGTCTGTAGGGGTTTTCAGGCCGTGGATTTTGATTCACAAATTTACGGCTGTGACTGTTTCAAAAGGAAAAAACTGTTGGTGAAAAAGATCATGAATTGACACATTATTTTATTTGCTTTGACAGCTTTCTGTTAGAAGGAGGAGAAGAGACAGAGACAGAGAAGATGAACAGATAAGATGAAAGAGAGAGGGAGAGAGAGAAGAGCAAGAAAGCAAAAAGACAAAAAGAAAAGGAATGAGCATAAAACAAAAATTTAAAAAAGAGGGACAGGTAGTGAGTCATGGAGGGAGGAGAGCATAGGAAAAAAGCTGACATGTGGAAACATACAGTCTGCTCAACATTAATATAAAATCTGCATTATTAGCAAATGATGACTGATATCCACTTGTACATGCACACCTGCCAGTATTCTGCTAACGTCATTACCGCAACAGTACGACCTTTTCAGGACCTTTTCCACCGTCAGAACAGTCGACTGTTTCCTGAACTGCTGAGTCCAAGTGCAGTGGCGTCCAGGTGATTTTCCACCTCAGCACTCAGCATGGAAAAATTATAAAAAATGAAATCTAGATATACGAATCTGGAGCTCTACAAATGTTGATCTCCAGATTTACAGGGCCACTATACTGTACAAACAGACCTTTGACTTATGAAAGTTTGGTAATGCTAATGAGTGAAAGGCAGAAAAAAACAAGGTGTGGATCTTGAGGGCTGGGGATACAGTTACAATTGGGAGAAAAAAATAATTTGAATAAATTCAGAAATCGCATTTAAAGTACATCAGGCGCTGAAACAACTGCTCATCGGCTTCTATCATGAGCATGTTTTGAGTCAACAGGTTTTCTCTTTGTTTCTACAGAGAGGAAAATGTTTAAAAATAATGTTCTGTGGCAATCAACCTTACACCACAGATGCAACAGAGAGAGATTATGTTGAAAAACTGGAGTATTCCTTTAAGGGTATTGTTGTGGTTGTGTAGCTCCTCTACACGATACTACATGTGGGATGTTTAGGAAAAAGCAAATTTGACAAACAAATTGCCTACAGACTGAAAACAGGTATTACGTTCGATAATTTTAATCTCTCAGACAAAACAACAACGTTGCTGAATGCTTCTACCCATGAGTTTACTTGTTCTTTCATCACTGCACTAAAAGGATAGTGGAGGTGAGTATGCTTACAGTGAAAATCCCTTTCCTTTCTTAAAAGAGAAAAAAAGCTGAAAAAAGAGAGGAGGTAGACAAAGATCCTCTTAACTCCCTGCAAACACTATCATTCAAGGCCAAATCCTCAAGAGAAAATACACAATGAGTGATGGTGTTGCAGTGCGTGGGGATGGACCACCATGCCAGTTCCGCCCTGCACACAGGACACTCACACACAAATACACAAAAACACAGTCATCTATCCGCCCATTTCAAAGTGCTAGTTTATCTCTAAGTTAGTGAAGCCCACCAGACAGTAAGTGAGAGAGAGACAGAGCGAGAGGGGGAAGGAGAGAGAGACAGTCGGCAACAAAATCTCGGTTTCAAAACAACCTATGTGGTTAAAATGGAGAATATGCTTATCTTAGCCTAGAGCCAAGAGATAAGGCAACGCAGGGGAACGGAGCTGTGCACAACGCTGTGTTTGTATAAAACATCCACTGCCTGTTTAGTTCCATCTATGACTAAGCAATGTGAATACAGCCTACAACTCTCTGACCTTTTGGTCGCAGTTCTAAAAATTTTACAGCAAGTGTCCTTATATGGTTACATAATAAGGTAGCTGCATATACATATGAAGAATATAAATGAATAAAAGCAAGAAACATATTTAACAGAAATCAACAACTCTGTAATACATCCTCTTTCTGTAAAATATTCAAAAATATGAGTACAAATGATTAAAAGATAAAGAGAAAATGGAACTCATAACAATCATACAAGACCTGGTAGACCACCTTAATTGTCACCATCAGATAAACAGTACATGGAGAAACAGGAGAAAAATCAAGCTCCACTCTTGCTTCCAATCTGAAAAAATCCACAGATGTTTCTGTCCATCCTTTCACTGTGAGAAGACAATTCAATGCTGTGAGTCTGAAAGGATGTGTAGTTGTCAAAGAGAAAAAATGCTCTAGAACACCAGAACTGAACAGAGCCTTGACCTGATTATCATTAATTGTGTTTGTGATGACTTGGATTCTGAGCAGCTGAAAATGCAACCAATCTCTAAAACTGAACTTTGGAGGTGTTTATAAGAAGCATGGAAAAATATATGTTCAGGTTTCTTTGAA